TTTTTTTTTGAGACAGTCTCTATTGCCCTGACCTGGAACTCACTCTGTAGACCAGATGAGTCCCAAACTTGTGAGACTCCTCAGCCTCTCTGCTCAAGCGCTGGTCCTGGTGTATGTCACCATGGCCAACCCTTTCTGTTTTGAGAGACAGGGTCTCACTATGCACAATCTAGGCTCTGCTTAAACTCACACTTCCCCTTGCCTCAGCCTCCCAAATGCTGACAGGACAGTTATTCACGGCCTCACAGGGTTGCAGCCTGCCTGGTTCCTTCCAATTAAGAGGGCCAGCTGGCGGGGCCTGGTGGTGCACGCCTTTAGTCCCAACACTCAGGATGCAGAGGCAGGAGGATTTCTGAGTTCGAGGCCAGCCTGGTCTACAGAGCGAGTTCCAGGACAGTCAGGGCTACACAGAGAAACCCTGTCTTGGAAAACAAAAACAAACAAACAAACAAAAACAACAACAAAAAGCTATCATTCTAGAATTGTCTTTGGAGGCAATGGGAAACATCAGGAAGTGGTGTAGGGGCAGTTAGGGTTTAGAGGTGAGAATAAGGGAGGAATGAGGCCAAACCAAAACCTGGCCCCAAGAACGTTCATTTCTTCCTCAGGTTTTTCTCCCTCCCTTCAAGCTGCACCCATAAGCCTTCCTTCTCCTTCAGAGCATGGTGTATTCCAGAATTCCAGTAGTCTCTGAGGAGCTCACCTCGGCAGACGGCTGGCAGCCCAAGACATCCCTTCCACAGTGAAAGTAGAAATCCAGGGAGTAGACCTGTGGGCATCACACTCCGAGTCGGGGAAGCCTTTGCGAGCCCAGGGCTGCTTTTGGCCAGGCAGTGGACTGACTCCAGAGTGCCGCGCTGAGGGTCTTTGCCGGTTTCCTCCACGGGAGACCAGTTTTCTTTAATTGCTATGTGCTTAATTTCTCTCAACTGCAGCAAACTGGGATATTTATGACTTCTCTTTGCATTAGATCTTCAGTAATTGGGTCTTTCTTGGAAGGGAACCCATCTGCTCTGTGCCCTGGGTTACTTTTCATTATTTACACTGAGGCAAGAAGGGGTGATATGTGGGATAATGTATCACCTATAGAATGGAGGTGGGGGGCTACACAGACACCATGTCAAATTTCAGGTCAGGACTAGAATGGGGGAAGGGTTTCCAGGAGCTGAGTGTTGAGAGTGATGTGGACTTCCGGTCTACCCAGAAAAAAAAGATGGCAGGGAGTCATTTGACACATAGATGTCCTGGTTGTCAATTGGATGTTGGTATCAAACACTGTCCATATGTGTCCCTGCTGCAGGGCATCAAACAGGAGTAGGCATGGATGCAAACGGACAGCTTGTAGCCTACTGGGGATTTATCAGTTAACCAGCCCTGCCAGCTGCAGCTCCCTGGGTTCTACCCATTAAACCATACACTTAGGATCAGTCTTCCAACAAACAGTCCACATGGCTGCATGTCCCAGTGGCTTGGACATTAGACTCTTCTGGGTAGCATCACAGTTTCATTTCCTCTGTGTAGCTCCACCGGCCCCATTTCCCCAAGACCGGGATGGAGGGGTGATGGGATGGTCCTGTGAGCTGCCAGAGCTGCTGTGGGTCTAGCCAGCTTTCAGGTGCTGGAGATATCACAGGTTCCTGTTCCTTTGGGCTAACCAGACTCCCACGCATGTGCCTGTCTTCTTTGGTATTCTAATTGTGATTCACAGAGGTAAAGAGATGGCTCAGTGGTTAAGACCGAGTACTGCTCCTCCAGAGGACCCAAATTCAGGTCTCAGCACCCATGTCAGGTGTCTGTAACTCTAGCTCCAGGCCACAGTCTCTGCATGTGCTTATCCATAATTCAAACAAACAAACAAACAAACAAACAAAAACAAACCAAAGCCAGTGGTGGTACATGCCTTTACCCAGTACTCAAGAGGCAGGGGTAGTGGTGTCTGTGAGTTTGAGGCCAGCCTGGTCTACAAAGTGAGGTCCAGGACAACCAGGGCTACACAGAGAAACCCTGTCTCCAAAAACCAAAAAAAGAATCTACTTGTAGTTTACACCTCAGGCACAGGGCTTACATGTCTAACATAGGATATGACTCTCCGTGGAAATATGCGATATTAGTCATCTTTTATGTTTCAGAGTCTAGCACCGTGCCTTGTTATCCATTCATTCATTCATTCATTCAGTCAGTCATGCAGCAAATATCCACTGAGAGAGATCCTTTTGGTGTTGGGCATCACTCCAGTGTTGGAGCATGTAAGTGAACATGAACTCTGTCCATCTTAGAGTTGATAGCCTCATGAGGAAGGGACAAATGACAACCAATAAATAACCATGGTGACAGATACCACAAAAAAAAAAGCAAGTGGGGGAGGGGAGGGGATGTGAGAAGGATGTGGGGGTTCTTATATAGGGAGAGGGGTAGGCTTTACCAGGACGGTGAAAGGGGAGCCGAAAACTTCAAGAATGTGATGGGGCAAGATCCGGAGATATTTGGAGCAACGGCGGTACACACAGAAGGGATGAGCACATGCTTTCAGGAAGAGCCGGGGTGGAGGCGAGTGTGGTTGGCAAGCGTGGGGGAGGAACAGGGTCATGGGTGATGAGGTCATCCAGGCGGTGGGGGCGCAGCACCAGGACCAGAGGCCACTGGAAGAGCTTGGCTTCTGCTCAGGAGCTACTTGCTCAACAGTAAGGGTGTGAAAAGCACGTTCCTACGTTCAGCCGGTGTGGACCCCACCTCCTAGGCAGGTGGGGCTGGATCCAGCCCTAAAGGAGAGATAAGAGAGACGCCAAGGAGGGGGGCAGCGACCTCTGGAGGGCTTCGCTCTTAGAGCAGGTGTGGGAGTCCTAGTGGGGGCAGGGAGGAAAGTGCCTTTAGAACAGAAGAAGGGCTGTATGAAGTCCACAGTCAAAAGTCTATAGAAGAACAAGGGACAGAAGGCTGTTGGTGCGTGTCGGTAAATCCAGCACTTTCCATATTGACACAGCAGGATTGGGAGCTTGAAACCAGCCTGGGCTATATAGGGAGACCCCGTCTCAAACAACAACAACAACAAAAAAAGATAAACGCTTGTTTTGAGTTGAAAGTCCTAGGCAAGGCCTGGAGAGCAGGCTTCTGAGCAGGGGACTGCCTTTTGGCACAATAGCTCTGGCCCTCCCAGGAACGTGGGGCCAAGCAGCAGGAGGAAGGTGGCCAGTGTGGGGACCGAAGGAAGTAAAGCCAGCGTGGATGAGAGAGCTCAGAAAGGACCAGGGTCAAGGGTGGAAGCCTGGATCAGGCTTTCTCTTCCTCGCTTGCCAACCCTGGGCCCAGAGTCAGCAGAAAAATCTCGGCTCCAGGGAGGAGGCAGCACGGAGCCCCAAGCTGCTGAGGGAGCAGGGCAGCAAGATGCCATTGTGTGCCCGCAATCAAGAGGCTTCAGAGAAATCAAAAGCACCAACTGGGGAATGATGTGTGGATGTGTGCATACTGTCTTTCACTTGCTCTCTCTCGCTCTCTCTCTCTCTCTCTCTCTCTCTCACACACACACACACACACACACACACACACACACACGCTGCCTCTAAATGGGTCAAGTGAAGGCTGTGGGTGTGGGTTGGAGAGGGAAGGCTAGGAAGTGGGGTGGGCGGGGGACCCGGAGGAGCCTGAGCCCTGGTGCCCACTCATTCTCCTGGCATAGGAGCTGGCAGCAGCTGCAGGGTGGGGTGGGATGTGAGGATAAATATACACCTCCCCATGCATATGGATAATGCACACAGCTGCCCTGCCTGCTTAGTGTTCATTAGGACCAACTGTTTCAGGAGCAGTTTGGGCAGGCGGGAGGGTGTCGTGCCCATTCACAGACTCGGGGCAGGGGGCTGCCTGCAGCTGTGCAAGCCCCGCCTCCTGCCCGGATCAGCCTCGCAGCCATCGAATGAATGCTGCTTCCTCCCACTTGCTCTTCGCTCGACTCACTGCCCTGCTAGTTCTTGGAGGTCTCAGGATGGGGAAGGGGCCCATGAGTGAGTCAGGAGGAATTGTAGACTGCACCGTGGGCGCTCAGTGAACTGGGGGGAAGAGTTGGGCTGGATTAAGTCTTTTGGCTTCGAGATGGGCGACTGGGGACGTGCAAAGCTGATCCCCTCCTTTCCAAAACCATCTTCGGAAAACTGCTTTAGCCCTGTCATCTGGGAGCTTAAGGGAAGTCCCATCCATATTGGAAAGCCCCCGATCAGCCCAGCTTGCTCTGTGTATGGGTGCTGTTGTGGTTCGAATCTTCTGACCTTTTGATACAAGTGAGGCTGAGGAAGGGAGGCTGATGGGCTCCAGCCCGGAAGAAGAGTGTACGGAGGTGGGACTAGAAAACGGGTTGGGAATGTCCAGTTTGTGCCTTGTGGATGGTTTGCATCCTAGCCAGCGTAAAATCTGTCCAATGTGGGTCCGGAGGTGATAGGAGGAAGATGGGGACAGATGGCAAACTTCCTGGGCTTCAGTTTTCAAGAAGGCTCACAAGGAAGAAGCTGTGGGCGTTTGGAGGGGCGTGTCTGTCCTGCAGGCTGCCCTCCTCCTCTGCCCTCAGGCAGTCAGAGTGGACTCTGGGGCTGGTCTGGAAGGGAGGCGACAGATTTAGGCCAGATCGCACTCACAGGTGACCCCAGCTGCTTTCTTTTAAGGGTGGGGCTGGGTTCTATTTGACGCCTGCGCACGTGGCCTCAAGAGCAGCAGCCAGGGGAAGTCCAAAGGCGAAGAGTGAGGTCACCTCTGGCCCACCTTGCCGTGCCTTGGAGGCCCTCCTCCAGCTGCTCCTAGTCCTGATGGAGAAAAAGGGCATCCAGTCCTGGACTCAGCAGGAATCCAAGCCACATGCGTCTCCTGGGGGCTTCACTCTCCTCATCTGGGACCTCGGATGACTACTGATGCCTGTTCAGCAGGATGCTCAGCTAATCCCTAGAAGGGCCATGGTCCCAGCCTTGGGTACCTCAGCCAAGGCTTCTGCCCGCTCCTGCGCCCCATTGCTCTCTGCAATTGTCATTAATATTTAATTTCTTTAGCAAGGGCTTTTTGTCCCTGGAACACAGCTCTTCACACTAAGAAATCACTCTGTATTTCTTTGTGTAGGAGATTCCTGTGTTTTTTCTTTTGAAACAATTTTTTTTTTTTTTTTT